TACTCATAACGAATATAAGTCTTCCAGAATATTATCATGTATAATAATCTTAATAATTTTTCATAATGCCTCAAGTATAGATTATGTTAGCTTGTTTAAACTAAAAGACGTATAAATGTTCCAAAATATTACTAAGTACTAAAGCAACTAATTATTCTTAATTCAGATGAGGTGCATAAATGCATTTAAACCACATTATTCAGGTAAGTTGTAAGGATATGTGTATTGATTTTTCCTCATGATTTATATTCATTGTAAATTGATACTGATTGTCTAATTGCCCAACAGCTGTTGAATTTGAATCAGTCTGATTGACATTTGTCAAATTAATGTCATCGTAAAATGAAGCGAAGTAGCCGACGGTTATATGTAATCCGGTTCGGGCTAAACGCCCTATACACACGTGTACCAATTATCATAGAGGCCTGTAGTCAATTTCACGTTTTATGAACTTAAAAGTCGTTGGTTTGAAATGAATACCCAACCCTATAATGTTCTACAACAGTATTTTCAGCAAAACAAATTACACCCGCTTTGGTGTAATAATTGAAATGGAAGTGTGATTTCCAATACATCCTTGAGTAACATTACTAATTTACACTGCCTGAGTGCAGCATTCATCCGAATGTAGTGAGTAGTAGTGTATCAGGCAGGTTACCCTACTGGAAATGGCAACTAGTTTCCACCTGAATTGGTGTAATGTTCTACACTAGTCGGGTGTTTATCAGTTTACACCACTAATTGTTAGGAGTTACCCCTATTTAGGTGGCAACTGGTTTCCATCCGAATTGGTGTAAACTATACCTTATTATTTTTAACAGTGTATGATTAGGACGCATAGGGGCCCTAAGCACATAAAAGATTTTGATGCCCCCACATGTCATTCAAAATATAAACAATAATAAACCACAAAAAAACACCATGTACATGATTAGAGTTTTCTTCGGGGATTTTAACACATCATCATTAATTGCGACAAAAAAGGTAAAAATATGAAAAGATAAAAACAATGAAAAACTGATCGAAAGTTCTTAATTCATTTTTTCAATAAATATTAGCATCTATTAAAAGCAGACATTCTGTGGTGCCCACATTTTGCTTAATGGTTAAGGTTAATCCAGCACTGATGAAAATCGACGTGGCGCGGTATTAGATTGCCGCAAACGCGTTTTCCGGCTATTGTAAGTAAAGCAACAAAAAAACAATCCGATATAGCCTAATTTGTGTGGCTTTTGAAAGCGAGATCTCAAATCCGAGCAGGTCACTAGTGGGGTATGTGGCGTGGTGGGGTGGGGGTGGGGGTGAGGGTGGAGATAGCCAGGAATATCCAGCGACCTGAAAGTGGTCCAATATAGTCCATCCTATCTATCAATCAGAATGTTGCCGTTACATTGACGAGACACCAGGAAATCTCAAATGGTTGTAAAGGACTTTTTTCCGATTTATGTTTATGAGTTCGAATTTGGTGCGTATCGGACCTTCAGTGTTGGAGCTATGCTCCCTGTTTCTTAGATACCGATTTACCCAGTTCTCCATCAATCTCTTGCGATATGTGGGAGTATCTTGCATGGCAACCGCTTCTTATTAGTGAAGCCTATTGATGATATTCGATGGTTATGAAGCTATGCGAATAACGTCTAGAAATTTTAAATACGAATCTTACTGTGACACGACCCGTTTCATTCTGCACACAGAAAACTATCTACTTCGGGAATAGATCTCTGTCTCGAATGGTCGCCATATCAAAAAATAGAAAACTATGTTGTAATGGGGTAAATTGCGGTTCTACCCCGTTTCATATCTATCATAAACACAAAGACTAAATAAACCTTTTTCAAATTTTATTAAATGGAAGTGGAAGCTGAATAAATACTTCTCAAAATTCTCGAAATGTGCCGGTCAACTAGTGCCTGTTCTCGTGTGGGGCTATCTGACAGACGGAGCTGATAGACAGACAGCTAATTTTAGTATTCAGGGGCGGATCCAGAGGGGTCGACCCCCCCCCTGCTCAGCTACATAAATTTTTTTGTAAAACAACACTTTTTATGACAAAAGTTTCTCGGCCGTGTGCTTTATCCTTTATCGTGGGACAGGATGGACACTCATAGCACGAGATAATGATATAGACATTATTTGATATCTCAATTAATGCTTTGCATCCATGAAATTGAATCACAATGTCATTGTATTAATTCATAATAAAAATTGACGTCAAACAAGGTGTTAAATTTCTCTGTTTAAAAAGCTCAATGTGTATGTATATACGCCAAAATGACGATAGAGACCATGCCGGGGGGGGGGGGATACATTGTCTCAGGAGCCTGGCAAACCCCCTCCTGCAAAAATTCTTGGATCCGCCCCATACTGTATGGACCCGTTTTACACGCTCGCTTTTTTTTTTAAATTTTAGTATGGTTGTCTTCTCCGGCACGTCGGACAGTCGGTTACATCTCACTGTGCCCACTTTTGATTAATCCAATTAAGGTCTAATTAGGATTAGTGTATTAAGCGGATTAGGATTAGGTGTTATAGGTAATTAGATGGAAAAAAAACAAATATTGAAAGTGACTAAATATTCAGTCTTATAATTGGTGAGATGAACTCATTGTAATCGTTAAAGTGATGAATTTTATTCAAAAAATGACACTTGAATATAATATGAATTATGTTCAGTAAGCCTACACATTACACGGTCTTTATAAGGACACACAGAAGTCAGTCTGTCATATTTCATCATGGCAAACGTTCAAGTAAACATCCAGTACATCCCCAATGCTCAAGGTGGAGAAAACTTAGTCCATGAAGAATACAAATTCCGAGTGAAGAATAGGAAGGCAGAACGAGTATACTGGAGATGTTGTATAAAAGGTTGTCCAGCAACCCTGAACACCCACCAAGGCTTTATTACCAAATATTCCAGAAACCACAACCATGTTGCTAACCCACACAAAGTGGCAGTCGACAAATTTCTCGTTGCCATGAAAACCAAGGTGCAAGAGGAAACCAAACCAGTCTGTGCCATCTATCAAGAAGAAGTATAAGGTATGTATTTATCTCTAATGTTGTGTGCCGTTGATTTAAATGATTCAACGTTAAAGCATACTGAACATGTTCTTCCGTAACAAACCAATCGAGTGTCTGGTCGAGTATTAATGATATAATAATATGTATAATAAATATATTCTTTTTGTTATTTTACAGCCCTTCGATCTGATCGTGACTCAGGTGAGATGATCAGAGAGATTCCAACATTCTATAGTTGCTGTGCTTCCCTGTATAGAGCCCGAGCAAAGATCCTCCCAGCACTTCCTCAGACCCGCAACGATATCCAGCTTCCAGATTCTTACACCAAGACCACATCCGGAGACGACTTCCTTCTCCACGCAGCAGCCGACAATAGGTTTCTAGTGTTTTCCACACAAGAAAATCTTTACCATCTCGCCAATGCAGACACTATATACTGTGATGGAACATTTAGCATGAGTCCTACCTTATTCACCCAGATCTACACTATACATGCTTTTGTACACAATAAAATGTTGCAATTTGCAGATTACGTAACTGAGTTCTGGGTGGAGGGACAGCATGGCAGAATGATGTGGAACCATTTCCACACTGAAGGTCCACGAACAACGAACCATGTTGAAGGATGGCATTCCAAGATAACATCCATTATTGCCACCCCTCACCCAAATATTTTTAAGTTGGTGGCTTTTTTTAAGAATGAACAAGCTTACTCCGAAGTAACCATTCTCCAGTTAGGTGCCAACGGAAAATTACGGCCTAAGAGAAGAAAGTACAGGCAACTAGAAACCCGACTCCAAACTCTGAAAACAGATCTTCAGAACGGTATAAAGACTGTATTCGAGTATTAAATATATATAAAACATCGAAAAATAAAAAAAAAATTACATAAAATATTTGGGTTTTTTTTCCATCTAATTACCTATAACACCTAATCCTAATCCGCTTAATCCACTAATCCTAATTAGACCTTAATTGGAGTAATCAAAAGTGGGCACAGTGAGGACACACCGGACAGTCAACATATTCATGTGAACATTTCTACAATCAGAGTTTCTGATCGATTATTTTCAAATTTACAGCGATTTCTCATTACTGTAATTCATAAGGCAGAAGTCTTATAATAATTCAGAGGGATTATAATTTATTGTCTATATTTATTATTTCTAATTTCGTATCACAAATTTCCGTCGCACATTTACCTTTTCACTGGCATATTGACTTTTATTTTTATTTCTTTTTTATTTTTTTTTTGTACGCGGGACAGATTTCTGTGGTATAAAAACCAGATAATCTATCAGTTATCTAAAGGGAAAAAATATACTTTCTTTCAAATATTTCACCAAATTATTTTCTGACAGCATTGCGCTTAATATCATGCGTTATTCAATTGCATTTTTTATTCTAGCTTCAAATGCTATATGAATTATTATTTAGAAATTTATTCAAATGAAATTTTGAACGTCCACTTGACACAAATTAGGTCATTTCGGAACTAAGATATGGTTCAGTTTGTTTCATTAATTCGCTGGCGAGAGGGGTCTTTGCAATGGGAGGAAACCAGAGGACCCTAAGAAAAGCCACGAGGTTGGACAGACAACCCTCCTCCTTGTCACGCACAAGCAGGGAATCGAAACCACGCCAATTGACCCAATGACAGAACTCGTGATGCTCTGCGCACTTTAACCAATCGCCCCCCCCCCCCATTCACTTGAAAAGCCTTAACTATAATAAACACTCTTGAACGTCATTACATTAAATTACGCCTTAGTCACTGTAGGCTATAAACGTTTTCTAGTATTATTTCGTTAGATATAAATAGTAGTCCACTGTGTACTAAGTTAAGGAACTGAAAAAATTACGTCGTGTGTTTATTTTATTTTACGATTTTCTTGAGCGAAAACTGCGTAATTCTAGAGAAAAGTGCAAGAAATTCTAAGTTCTTTGGAGCGGTTATCTGCCCCTGTCACTGTGTAAGTCACCGTACGCATGCGTAGTAGTCCAAAATAGACTTCACTTGTTTCCCATCTGCAAGTTGGATAGCTGTGAAACAATATAATTTAGGGCCATGGCCCACGATCAGTCATCCCTATTGCTTCGAAAACAGTTGAGGGGTGAGTTCGAAGGCTAAGTATAAATTACACAATATTGAAGTTTTCTCAACTGAACTAAGAAACTTCCTGGACGATTGAAAAGTTGAGTTCAGAAAGGAAAACGAAATGGCCTCTCACTCAGTCATTTATCAACATTTGTGTGTAACCGTAAGAAAAACAAAGAATTTAGCAGTCGACGCTATGTCCGGGTGACAGAGAATTTGTGTACTTGCTGACTTAATAATCCGTGTTTAATAAGATTAAATAATTGGGTTAGCAATGGCTACTGAACTAAACAAAAGAAAACACTGAAAGATAGCTATAGAAAATAAAAATCAAAAAATCTGAGTCACTGAAATTCATTGACAATTAATCAAGGCCATCAGCAGCTGATGGGGTTGGGAATAAACCATAGGAACTAAAATAGAATTTCTCTGTGGAATTAAGTAATTAAATATATTTAAACATTAGGACGTGACCCTAAATGTACATGTATGTAAAGTACTTTTTATTGGATTTCTATGAAATATTCAGTAAGATTTAAGTCAGCGCATTTGATCTAGAAAACTTTATAAAGAAAAATATTAACAATGTTAAAAAAAAAATTTTTTTTTTGGAAACATTGCTCAATATGTGTCACAAACCTGTGATTGTATTCCATATAAATGTTCGTCGTCTTTTGAATTTGCCCATATAAATGGTCGTCGTCTTTTGAATTTGCCCTGTCAGCTATGCTAAATACCACTTTTAAAGGATTATGAACTTCAAATGTTCATTCATTCAGGAGATTTAAAGACATTAAATTTTTTAGTTGAGCAGAAAATGATACACAAATAAAATAAGATTGGGTTTGACATCCTACTTTTCTACACTGATTGGGTTAATGAAGAGGGGGATATGGCAGGTACAGCTGTGCTATGGTCTACTCGTATTTCGAATTCCAACTGTCAAATCTTAATAGTTCTTTTAAGTGCACGCCAATGTGTACACAGGACCTTGGTTTTTCATCCCATCCAAATGACTAGACACATTTTGTCTGATCCTCCGTCCTAGAAGAACACAAATAACAAGGTCAAACCATGGCGGATAATTCTAAGGAACTTTGTCAGCCAACACCGAGAGCGAACCTGAACCCGAGACCTCCAAGTTAACAAGCCAATTTCTTACTCACTGAATCACTGTAGATCCCTACATAGGCCTCAGTGTTTTCATTTTCTACTTTCGTTTCTTAATTTGAAATGATAAATTATAATTCTAGCCTTTTTTATTTTGTAGATTTAAACAAGAATCCAGTTGAAGGATTTTCTGCAGGATTAATTGATGATGATGATATATATAAATGGGAAGTTGTTATTTTAGGACCTGGTGACACAATTTTGTAAGTTATAAAATCAGGACATTCCACCTTTTCTCATCTCGAAAAGAAGACAATTTAAGCCGTCTCATCACTTGCATTATAAAAACTTCAACACGCATTCAGGGATCTGTGGTAGTCGAATGGTAGGACATTGGGCTCTTGATTTTTTAAGCTCGGCTCTCAGTTGTCAGAGGTTGTCCTTTTACAAGACTGACATGGCAAATGTGCCTAATCGTTAAGATGATACAAAAAACCTATTTGCACCTGTGTACACAAAAGCGTGTATGTACAATATGTCTTTGCACATGTGCACAAGGGCGTGCATGTAATAGAGAGAGAGAAATGGGGTTTAACGTCCACTCGACACAAACTAGGTCATTACGGGACTAACACATGGTTCAATTTTATTTCAATAATTCAATTGCGCGAAAGGGTGTTTAGCCGTAGGAGAACCCAGAGAAAACCCACAAGGTTGGACAGGTGACCCTACTCCTTGTCACATAGAACCGGGGATTTGAAACTGCACCAGTTGACTCAATGACAGGCCTTATGATACAGCGCGCACATACTAATCATTCGGCCATCCAACCCCCCTACATGTACATGTAATAGAACTGTTGGAATTTCAAGGTAGAGTTGACTGAAACCCTGCTATCAGAGCAAAATTAATGCCCACGTATTGCACATGTAATGTAACCATAGAGATGGCATAATAGTTTGATCACTGACAAACCTGCTCGTTGACGCATTTGATCAGAAAGTTAATGTTCATGTACATATATCACAAAATATTAATAGCAGAAATATGTCCGATGCAAAGAAAGGAACTCTATACAGACTTAAGTGTTAAGTCTGTCTTTTAGGTGTGGTTTAATGGTTTCAAGCATAATATATTGATAGTGCATGAAAACGTAAAAAAACTTGTACACTGATATACACTGTACTATTGGCACATTGCCTGTATCATTATTTGAAATAAGTCTTCACCATCATCAAAGGATGATGTCTTTTTTGTATTTTAATACATAATATCTAAATTTAACTATAGACTTATTAATCTCATCGGTAACAAGAGTTTGCTAATAAAGTTCTTTACATGAGATATTATGATTTGTTTTATATTTTTCAGTGAAGGAGGTGTTTTTAAAGCTCATTTAACTTTTCCAAAAGAATATCCACATCGTCCACCTAAGATGAAATTTGTTACCGAAATGTGGCATCCAAATAGTAAGTATGGATACCCGTACTAATGATCTGATACGAAACTTCTAAGAATCTCACAGATGATAATATGGGTGGCCTAAGCTTCACATCATTATTATTGTGTCCTGTTCAATAAATGTATTATATTGTCAAGGAAACAATGGCAGCTGCTACTATCTTAGAATGAACAATACATGAAATCCTTTGTGAGAGAGAAATGGGATTTAATGTCCCCTGGACATACACTAGGTCATTTTTGGACTAACATATGGTTCTATTTTATTTCAATAATGGCATGTAGGGGGTCTTTAGCAGTAGGGGGAAACCCACGAGGTTGGACAGGCAACCCTACTCCTTGTCATGTACAAGGGAGGTATCTAAACCATGCCATTTGACTCAATGACTGACCTACTGAACAAACATGCACTTGTTAACCATACGGCCACCAAACCCCCCGAGCATTAATATTCATTAGCTGGTAATGTTCATGTATTAATTGGTAGTGCGCCTAAGTTTAAACAAATGAAATAGGGTTTAACGTCCCACTGTTCTGCTCCGACTGGGCTAGTGAAGATGGGCATACGCCATACAGTGTGCTATGAGGAAAATTGTGCTAAGGCCTACTCTTATAACAAATGCTGATGTACTTACTTGGCCAACATTTGTCTCTCTCTCATATTTTAAACTACAACTATTATTTCTAGGTCTGTGCTGTACTTATAAAATATCCCTTTCCTCTGATGTGTTGCCCAAAGAAATACCCCATTATCCTGATTTTTTTTTTTATTTTCCAGTTGGACCTGATGGTAGTGTGTGTATTTCTATATTACATGAACCCGGAGATGATAAATATGGATATGAACAGGCATCAGAAAGATGGTTACCTGTTCATACAGTAGAAACTATTTTATTAAGTGTTATCTCAATGTTAGCCGATCCTAATGATGAATCACCAGCAAATGTAGACGCAGCAGTAAGTTTTAAACAAATAGGGAGCCGAGGTGACTCGGTGAGTAAGATGACTCACTGATGTGGAGGTGTTGTGTTCGAAGTGGACGGAAAAACACTGTGTACACATTGATGTGCACGTAAAAGAACCCTATGCAGTTGGAATTTGATATAAGAGTAGGCCATAGAGCCGCTGCCCAGGCAAAATTTTTCCTCATAGCACTCTGTATGGTATACGCCTGTCTTCATTTGCCCAGTCGTTAAACCCTATTTCATTTCAATAATAGTCTGGCATATCGATGTTAAAAAAGATATTATTGGGCTGAGAAGATTTGTCAGGATATTTCAGACCCAGTTTTCAAGGGTAATGCATGCGTGACTGAAAAGAAAAGTGTTGTGTTTAGTTGGTATTACTAATTAGTGTGAAAATAACCAAAATGTTGACAAGACTTGAAGCATCCTCAGTGGTCTCAATCCTTTCTACTCCACTAAAAAAAGTCTAAAGAGTCTTAGTAAGACTCCTTTGTAAACTGTTTTTTAATTGGTTCACATACTCAAGCTACAATCAAGGCCAAAACAGATAATTTGAAATCGTGAAAACCCTATGGATTAACCCAGGGTATAGTGGATTAGAATGGAATGAAACCACAGGGGAAACCGAGGATGTACTTAAAGACGCACAATTCCCTTTCACATTTTATCAAAATAACTGGCCTGAAGTGGACACCAATTCATCAAGATTTTGTGCTGAATTGTGTCCCGGTTGAGATTTTTATAGCAGGCTTTGACCTATAAATTGACAATTTTATCCTCATTGAGTTTGACATATCACCATCAAAACTCATCCAAGTGGGTAGTTCAGATTATAATCTCTATTACGTCCATCATTTGCATTTCTAAAAGTTTGAACTGACTGACAATGTATGTTGGTTTGACCCCTCAATAAATTCTTTTGCTAGTACTGTCATCATATTATTTTTGTATTTTAGAAAATGTGGCGAGAACAACCAGATGATTTTAAAAAGAAAGTTGGTCGCCTTGTTAGAAAAAGTCAAGATGAATTATGATAATAAATAACACTGGTTAAAAGTGAGTTTTATGATATTCTAATAATATGGATGGCTGAATGGTTAGCACGTGCACGCTGGTTTCGATTCCCCCGTTGAACGTGACAAGGAGTAGGGTCGCCTGTCCAACCTTGTGGGTTTTCTCCGGGTACTCTGGTTTCCTCCCACTGCTAAAGACCCCTACACGCAAGCGAATTATGGAAATAAAATTGAACCTTATGTTAGTCCCGATTGAACTAGTTTGTGTTGAGTGGAAGTTAAACCCCATTTCTCTCTCGCTCTCCCTAAAGTCTCTGATCTTCATCGGATGGGATGAAAAACCAAGGTTCTGTGTACACATTGGCGTGCACGTAAAAGAACCCTTGACAATTGGAATTCGATATAAGACTAGGCCATAGAGCTGCTGTCCAGGCAAAAATCTACCCTCATAGCACACTGTATGGTGTAAGCCTGTCTTCATTAGCCCAGAAGGAGCAGAACAGTAGGACGTTAAACCCCATATCATTTGAGATATGGTAAATATTGTGAAAGTTGTATGTCTAAAAGCAATATCATTCCAAAAATGGTGAAGTTCTGTTCAGTATTTACAAATCTATGATGAACTGAAAAATGTTTGGCATCCTGTGGGGTCAACAGAAGCCAGTGCCTCCTTCAGTCTTCATGAAAAATTTTAAATGGGTTTCATTTTTATTCATTTGAATCCTAGCCTGGTGATTATCTACCTTTGATATTTCAAAGTTTGACACAAAGATCATATTAGTGTTGGGGGGTTGGATGACTGGATGGTTAGCGTGTGCGTGCTGTATCTTAAAGTCTGTCATTGAGTCAACTGGCGTGGTTTCGACTCCCTGGTTGTACGTGACGAGGAGTAGGGTCGCCTGTCCAGCCACGTGGGTTTTCTCAGGGTCCTCCCACTGCTAAAGACCACTACGCGCAAGCGAATTATTTAAATAAAATTGAACCATATGTTAGTCCCGAACTGACCTAGTTTGTGTAGATTGGACGTTAAACCCCATTTCTCTCTCTCTCTCATTTTAGTGTGAACAATTGGGTATTTAAAAAAATGCAGTCGTTATTACAGTAGCAAGGTTTTGAAAAAATTTATGAAAGATTTACCATACAACTATTTACATGGCAATCTGTGATTTTATTTGATTGATAAAGCTGAGAGAACCCTCGTCTAAATGTCACCAGAAATAAACTATTAAGTAACTTATATTCCATATATAGATGGCATGAGTGATTTTTATTTTTTTTTAACCCTAAGCTAAATTGTCTGCATTTTGTTTCAGATTCTTGCAAGTTTGATAGGAGAGAGATTTATTTGAGAAGTAAATATCAATTAATGCAACAAATCCAATCCTCAGACTAAGTTTTGTTGTATTAATAAGTTGTTATATTCGTGATTGCCATTGTTGGACATCATCGATTTATAAATCATCCAATCACAAAGCCTTATTTTTATCACATGTCATTCATCATATTAACAATTTGTGGGTATAATACGCAATAATTAATCCTAAAGTAATGTTATTCAGTCTTCTATATATTCTAGTCTAATAATTAGAACGTTTTAATATCAATGAAAACAATCTCTTTAACTGCTTCCATATGATAATGTATTTCATGGCTAGAGTATCTTTAAATACATTCTGGCATTCCCCATAGTCCACGAGTAATTCATTAGTTGGAATGGAGCTTTAATTGTTGTATTGAGGTGGTGACCGGACTTAGTGTTTGATATTTTCCTCGGAACTACAGTGGATCAGGTTGTAAGCCCAGATGTTTTAAATCAGAAAATAATTTTGACAGATATATAAATATCAAATTTTAAAACTGCTTCCAGTGAATTATATCTGATTTAGATTAAATATAATTTCTCCCATATTGTGTAAAGAGCTGTGATGGAGGGAATAGTTTTAACCCTTTTCCATAGAAATTATATTTTATTTAAATTAAACTTATTTTCTCCCGTATCAATCTGTGTAACTGTAATGAAGTATGTAATTTCAAGTATATAAGTAGGCTGTAGTGATGGCAACGTGAAAATAGACGAATATGGATATTTGAGTAATTACCCTCAAATTGTCATTCAGCACATTTAATTGAAATGAGTGAGGGTTTATGGGATGTTTTTTTCCCTAATTTATCCTTTAGCCGTCATTTATTTCACTTCAACCACAATAGCTCTTTCCATAAGAAAATTTGTTCAAACTGAACTTATTAAAGGTTACTAACAAGTTAGAAATATGCCTGAAATTAGAAATTAAAAAGGCCTTTACTAAAAAAGATGTTCAAAATAAATTTATTCTAAATAATGTTTGTTGATTGATGTCCCTGTGGGTACCGAGTTAAGTCAGTTGTGGATTGTCCGGGAATAATCTTTAGCACAAGTCCCTGTGAATAAAAACTTGATGATAGTGACTGAAAATAATCTTTAGCCTAAGTCCCTATGAGCAAAAACTTGATGATTGTAAAGGGAATAAAACTGAACACAAATATTTTAAATATAGAATGAATTTATTTTATGTGGATAATTTTCTTGTGGAGGTTGAGCTATAATTATATTATTAATGTATATATATTATATTGTACAAAGTAATACGTATTCGATAACCCTTTATTACCATATAAGATATTTGGATATTTTTCCTTGCAATTTAATTTCCTCAATGTTTAACTCCTTGGCTAATCTGTTCTGCTCAGTTTCTCAAATATTGCTGAATATATGGATACAAATATATATTTTACATATATACGGCATTGTGTATTTATGAAATAATCTCCATGTAGAGACTATTATAAGGCGAAAATGTTTATGTATTTTGTTTTATGGAATGAATGGGACAATCTGTACATGTTGGAATATTCTGTACATGTATCCAACACTGAACCTAGTTAATTGTGTTATTACACAGGACCCAATTCTATTGAGCACAGTTAGGGTTTATTAATACTGCCTGTTCCCTGATCCCTTTTCATAAATTTGAAATAAAATATTGTTTACAAAAAAACCAAAATACTGAGCGATGTTTCGACTAGACTTTGCAAGGGTCATTGCTTAATAAGACTAAAGAAGCCTTGATGAACCTCCAACAGTAATTTGATCATTTCTTGAAAATATCAAGAGAAAATATCAAGAGAATAAAAGTTGAAATCTTGTTCAGTAGTAAAAAGTATCATATCATTGCTCGATAAAGACTAGGGAATCCCAGTTGAAACCTTGTTGACTAATCAACAATACAGTAATTAATTGTATCTTTTACTTGATAAGACCAAAGAAGCCCAGTTGAAACATCCCACAGTAATAAACAATATACCGCAATTGTATCTTTTACTTGATAAAGACCAATGAAGCCCAGTGGTGAAACGTTAATTGTATTCAATAGAATTGTCTCCTGTATGTATCCAATACTACACCTAGTTAATTATATTTACTTGTGTATGTGAGTTAGATATTGTACTTTACTCTATAATTCCAATTCTATGGCTTTAAACTCTTACTGAATATAGGTTATTGCAACATGCTTAAGGGTGAATCTTGCGTTTTGATTGGTCAATTAGACACGGTCGATTGGACAATAACACCCCTCTGTTTTAGTAATATCTTTTAAAATGCTAAAACATTATGTTACAATGCCGATAAACACTTCCTGTTTCGCATTTAGAGGGGTCTTGGATCCTAATGATCTGAGGACATGTCTATTGGACAATAACACCCCTCTAAATGTGAAACAGGAAGTGTTTATCTCCTAAATTAAGTTAAAACTGCTGTGTCAATAGAGATATTTTAGGTTTTGGTGTTACTTGAAATTTATCATATTTTCAGTTGTTTCATGTTTTTTCCAGGATTGAACATAGTTAATTGTTTCTTTTCAAAGATATTTTGGTTATAGATCAAACATTTGTGTAAAGCACATGAGGATTCACATTTCGCATCACTTAGATTTGTAGAAAGATTAAACAACATGACAGGGTTTTCTCTGGTATGTAAATATCTGGAATCGATGACCCTATCTTCATTAGCCCAGTCAGTGCAGAAAAGTAGGACGTTAAACCAAATTCAGTTTTTTTCAGGAATCAATGATTTGAATAGTATGAGATGAAATTAAGACGCTTGTTGCAAATCGAATATAAATATATGAAATGGAAAAGTGTACTTGGAACAGTTTGATCATTTGATAACATGAATAATTCAGCTCTTGTTTTAGGATTAAATTAATTAATAAGAGGCTCATCGACAGATTTTACTCTACGGAGGAATCCAAATGCTGCAAACCATTTTTGGACTGATATTCCTTCTAGAGATTCATCTTCCACAGTATTGTAGTTTGCAAGGGATTAAAAATCACTCATATGACGATAAGCTTGAATTGAATATTGACAGTAAAATTAGTGTCTTAAGTGATGTAATACTTAATGTAATTATATATTTTTCAGCCTCTTAAATCCAAAATGCAGTCCATCAATACTAATAAATTAGTGTCTTAAGTGAGGTAATACTTAATGTAATTATATATTTTTGAGCCTCTAAAATCCAAAATGCGGTTCACCAATACTAATAAATAGAAACTCGCTAGTATACTCCGCAATAAAATGACCAGATTCAAAGCACTGTTGAATGTATAGATTAATTCTGAGTAGATTTTTTTCAAATTAACTGTTGAACTTGAAATATTTAGAAGGTTTTAATTATTTATGAATTTGTTGATATTTAAATGCAATCCAAGTGCTACTCGATTATAAAACGAAGAATTTGTAGTGCTAATTTATTTTCGTCTTTTCTTGAAATTTGGCTTAGTATATAAAGATGGGAATGGGGTGGTATTGGAGATCTTTTTTTTTGTTGTATTTAGTTCAGTCAGGGTGTAGTAAGTTTGAGAACAATTTACAAATCACACTACATATAATGGGCATTTTGTTATTGAATCATATTGTTTTATGTTCAGTGGCATGCAGAGAGAAGGAGGTGGAGGGGGGGGGACCGAATGGTTAGTGCGTGCACGCTGTATCATAAAGTCTGTCATTGAGTCAACCGGTGTGGTTTTGATCTTGTATGTGACAAGAAGTAGAGTTACCTGTTCAACCTCGTGAGTTTTCTCAGGGTCCTCCGGTTTCCTCCCACTGTTAAAGCCCCCTATGTGCAAGCGAATTATTGAAATAAAATTGAACCATATGTAAGTCCCAAAAAGACCTGGATTATGTCGAGTGGACTTTAGATCCCATTTGTCTCTCTCTCTCTCTAGTGCAGAGGGAGAAATGACTGGGTATCCCATTTCAGGAATGCATCCAATTAAAGAGTAAAATTTGAAATTATCGCTGTTGACTTTGTTGTACATGCTGCCATATTTGATTTGAATAAAACGTTTGTTTCATCTGTTTTGACATATTTAAAATGTCTTCCTTTGTCACATTTCTGCATACTAGGCCCAATATATTTTGAGTCGTGTTGAGGGGAGGGATACAATCAAGGAGTTAGCCCCTGGCCTCACCAAACCTCTGCACGACATTGCTCATAGACCTGAACAATATATAGACGAATTGATATCTCATATAATTTAAACAAATGTTTGGGGTTCGCTTTGAAGGATTTTGTTTTTAAAATCTATTGCTGTTTGGTTGCCTGTTGACTTTGATAGAGCTTGTGTCCTCCTATAAGTTTCTCTTTCCAAATTTTAACCCTGATAATTATAACTGGTCTATATTATACATACATGTACATGTACTAGGATCCAGAATGTATTAAACAGTACAAGGGCTAATATGGGATTCTTTCATTTATTTTTTGATCACTATTACACTTTGTAATTTTATCTTATACTACTACTACTAGTATATATATATATATATCTTGGAATCACCATGGTGCATGTGTTCATGTGTACTTAACAAATCATTACTACCTGTATCCCAAAACAGCTAAATACAACATCGAGAGGAATGTACTTTTGATGGGTTCTCTGTATGACAACAACACCTGTACTTTGATGTTGGATTGTCAAGGTGATCATCAAAATACCTGAAACTAAGGTTCTCATTTAGGTTTTATTTATCTGTCTTGACTGATTGTCAAATCTGAATCCACGATCATTCACAAATCAAAAACACGTCATGCCAGTCTTCCATGGAAACTAATCTGGATTTGTAAAACTGTTTGTATATGACTCAACTATGGAAACGATTTAGATTTTGACACAGTTTGGTTCTAACTAAGACACATAACTCATAACTGATTGGTTTAGGATTAAGACCACAATAAATTCTACAAGTCCTGCATGATAATATGGTTTTTCATGAAACATAAACATAACTGAACAGGTCCATGGGTAGTAATTGAAAGGTTAGATCCATGGTTATGCCAAGATAGCCCTAATGTACTGCTTTATACATTATGGTCCCAAAATACCAAATAACATGATAGGAGAATGCTCTTTATCTTATTGGTGTGAATTTGAATAAATAAGTTGATATATTAAATTATTTACTGTTTTTTTTTATTTATTAAAACTTATGGTTCTTAGTTTCTGACTCTTTAATAGTTTAAGTGTGTCATTGAGTCAAATGATATGGTTTCGATTCCCCACTTGTGGGGTTTTCTGAGTTCTCCCACTGCTAATATAAAGACCCCTACACATATGCAAATTGTTGAAATAAAATTGAACCACATGTTAGTCCTGAAATGACCTAGTTTGGGTAAAGTAAACATTAAACCCCTTCTCTCTCTCTATTGACTCAAAAAACCCACAGAAGAGACTACTTGCAGTCGATGATCTTTTGGTGGATCACTGGGTATGATGCTGGCTCACTAACCAGAAGGTCCCAGGTTCAATCCTTTCCAGCCTGGGTTACCCCCTTGCCAGTGGTGCAGGGCAAGAGGGACTGGTAAGCACAAGGCATCTTCATCAGCTCATTGGTTACCACCCTATGTTTCAAGTTAAGGGGTGGCCAAGTTGTCTAATACTCGAACTGTAGACCATCTATGTAAGTCATGAATTTGATCCCGAGCTTTGATCTCTTTACACTGTCAGTGATGCAGGACGGAGGGCCTAACAAGAACAACTGTCTAGTTGTTCGGATGGCACGAAAAACCGAGGTCCCGTGTACACATTGGCGTGCACGTAAAAGATCCCTTTACAGTTGGAATTCGATATAAGAGTAGGCTGTAGTGCCGCTGTCCGGGTAAAATTTCCCTCATTGCACACTGTATGGCGTATGCCCGTCTTCATTAGCCCAGTTCGGAGCAGAACAGTAGTATGTTAAACCCCATTTCATTTCATTTAATTTCTATCAAATCTTGCTTTGGTCTTTAACCTCTGCTGGAAAATCTATAAATCAATTTAATTCAGCAAGACATCTGTTTGTGTTTGGTGTAATAAAAGAACCAAAGACTTCCAGGTAAGATTTTGATTCCCTAGTTGTACGTGACAAGGAGTAAGGTCGTCTGTACCACCTCATGGGTTTTCTCCAGTTTCCTCCCATTGCTAAAGACCCCTACGCTCGAGCGAATTATTGAAATAAAATTGAAACATGTTAGTCCCGAAATGACCTAGTTTGTATCAAGTGGACGTTAAACCCCATTTTTCTCCCCACACTGGAAAAACAGGCCGATATATGTAGGTTAATAAGGTATTAAAACCAAGGCAGTGGACAGACCAAGATCATTTCAATATCCAATATGTGAGTCCTGAAATCTCTCTCTCCCCCCCCCCCTCCCCGATTTCCTATATGTATAAGATTGTATTCAATTATCCATATACTTCTGCATAATATTAATAAAGAAGACATATATTTTGATTTTAGACAATATTTTATCTATTATGAGATTATACAGATAGGCTGAAGTGCTCTTCAGTAGATATTACTCTCCAGATTGAAAACAGATAAGGTCATAATCAATGATCTTATCTACATGTAGTAGTGAAAAATAATTGTTCAGCATGTCTATACATTGTATGTATAGAAAGCTCTTTTCCAAAAGGAAAACTCTTTTTCAAAACCATTTTGATATTCCTTAAACCCATCTAACATATTTTAAATGTTATTTGGTTTTTAAATAATAAATGAAATATGGTTTTCAAATTCATTGACATATAATTTCATCAAGTTTGTCTTTGGTCAATTTCACAGCAAGTTCTAAAACCTGGCTAATATGAATGTATGATAGTATGATACATATGTATCACATAATGATTATTTAGTTTATTAAATACAGATAAAATCATAAATACTTTTGCACTTAACGATACATTATGTACAATTTTGATAAAGAGCTGGCCGTTCTTACTATAATATTTAAAAAATAGACAATGCAAAATAAATATATGAAAAATTTCATTCAAATTAGTTTATTCTGGGCAAAGATATTAGCCTCTGAAGGTTTGACAAGATGTGTGCACTGATTGCAACCATTGTACTGGTTGTTCGAAGCTTAGCCTCGCTTCACCATTTTTAGATTAAATCATTAAATGGCTGAACAGTTCAAATCTACTTAAAATCGGAAGCCATCCAATGGCATTGAGATTTGATTATGGTCTTGTCATGTTAATAAATGTTTAATTAATAGTTTATATAACATTTAAGGTCTAAAGAAAGACATGCAATAGGCAGATTTAGCTCTTACAAAATGCTTGTTTAATAAAAGATACATGTACATACCAACACATGCAAATTTATATGGAGTAGAAATGTAGATAAAATTTATTTACAATTTACATAATTATAATTTTAATACTTAGTAAAACATAATTTGATCATTTATAAAATATAAGAATCTAAATATTTGATTTGATTGAATCGTGCAATAAAAATTTAAGATATATTACATATAGCAATTTTAAGCAATACAACTACATACTAAAAATCTTTTAAAAAATTTTTTTAAATAATATAAATCATTCAAAATTTTATACAAAACAGTAACAATTATGGTATGGATAGTTTATTTTGGCTCATTGATCCATTGATCAACAAGTAGAACACATTAAATTTATGCTGTCTAGTTAACCCACGTAAGCACTAAGTATACTTCAAGAATTTTGTGCTTTCATCTAATATAATTGAAAAGGTTTAAGTACTCTTTTTGTGTATAACAGATGTGAACTGGAGTAAGACCACATCACAAAACAATATACTAATTGTTGGATATGGCGGCCATTTAGGGCAGAGATTCTCGAAGTAGATAGTTCTCCGTGTGCAGAATGCTAGTAGAAGTACGCATATAGTACCTGGTGATTTAATGTGCTTCCACAGTTGTGATATTGCAGACAATTTTTCTCTGTAAGGCTGACTTACATTTTCTTTGTATGAATCGGATAAACAATAAAGGATAGTAGAGGTACGCATATAGTAACTGGTGATTTAATGTGCTTCCACAGTTGTGATATTGTAGACAATTTTTCTCTGTAAGCCCGACTTACATTTTCTTTGTATGAATCTGATAAACAATAAAGGATAACTGCCCAAATAAACATAGACACAACAAACAATACAGTAATATGGCAGACAGTACAATTAGATATGGGATATATTTCTAGACAAGACTAAAGATAAAGATTAGAGGTTTGTTTATCGTGTGGTGCCGTATAGCTTGAAGATTATACGGGTAATTATATATAAGCTAACAGAACAGCAAGCCTGGACATAAGGCACCCGTCACAGACTTTGTCAGACATATATTATCACACATTTGTGTCTGACTATTTCTGTGACAGGTGCCTGATCTCCAGGCTTGTATATACATAATATGTTATCTGATAATTTGTACAAATTAAAAGATATGTTTTTTTAAAAGATTCATGACTTGTAGAAATCTGAAAATGCTTCATGCTTCAATAATAACAATCCCAAAAATGAAAATTTCAACTGAAGTGAACTAAATCAATGTGACCACTCGCTAAAAATTAAAGCCTGAAGCAAACATGTTTGATATATTCACCTAGTGTGTCCGCTTCGCCGAATCATTTGTCCGATTGTAGAATTCATTAGCCAATCACCACTGAGAAGTCACATGATTGTTTGAAGATATGGTCGTGGCCATGTTTAATCATGTGATGTGAATGGAGATGCAATCGACTGGTGAATTGAGCACAGGATTCGTCTGCTCTGTTCATTTATTCAGCCGAATGAATTCGGCTGCACTTTGACGCCTAATGAATCAGCCGAACGATTCGGCTAGTGTGTCCACCAATTTAGGAGAAGAAAATATTCTTAAAATACCAGAAGTTATGTTTTCAATAAATAAATTTAGAAAAAATATTTTTAAAATATTTTCTTTGCTGAGAAGTAAAATCTTAGAATTTATTCAAACTTTCAGTCAATGGAAAGGCAGTGATATTAAAATATTTATCTTAGTTTTAAATTTTCATGAATCGGCAGCCTAAAATTTTAGGAATGTTAAATAATAATGGTACAAGATATTAATTACATCTACAAGTTTATTGCAATAAATTTTAAGGAATTATATGTTCAAATAAAATACTAAAGGTATTTATGGATAACAATTACTATATTTTATTACACAGCAATGTTTCATATATCCTTGATAATGACTTGTGAAATCTTGTTGAAATGCTGAGGTGAAATAAACCATCCTACATGTAATTGTTATCCATAAATAGTGTTTTATCAATCTGATTAAAACACAGATCCTATTTCGTTTTAATTTTATAGTTCAAAATTTCGTTTTACTTGTCTTTACTACACTAGAATTTGGAAGAATTGTTATATAATCCGCATTCTGGTTTAGCCAATGAAATGATCTGTCGCAGCAAATTCTTGGCGTACGATGCACGGATCTGTGGGTATCCTACTAGAAACATCAATGCTGATTGGTTAATCGTCAAAAGCCACTTGTATGACCCCTGACGCGACCTCCCACAGTCCCACTACAACTGGTCAGATCTTCATGTAGAAGATAAAAAAAAACAAAACGAAATATAAATCTTTATTTTATGATCAGTAGTGGAATACCGAGTTTTATCAGTGAAATAAAAGTGTTATTCCACTGGCTAGTTGTTTTTACCTAAAATAATTGTAAAATCATAAAATAAATAGAACATTTGTCGTTTTGTCGTGAATAACATATTTCATTTCATCTCTAAGCAAGAAAACGTTTATATTTTCACTCATGCTACACATTCATGAAAATATAAGTTTTCTTGCTTCTCGATGAAATAAAATATGTTATTCACTCTAAAACGACAAATATCCTCTATGTATTCTAATCAAATTGGTGTTTTTTATTTGATTATGTCCCCATATCTAAATGCCATTAAAAGAATGAATTATATGTTCATGAATAGAATAAATTACATATGTTTATTTTCATGAATAGAATAAATTACACTTGTTTATGTTCATGATATGTATATGTTCATGAATAGAATTATTCACATATCTTTATGTTCATGAATAGAACAGAATTACATATGTAGATGTTCATGAATAGAATAAATCACATATGTATATGTTCATGAATAGATAACATATGTATATGTTCATGAATAGAATAAATACAAGATGGTTTACTCTGGTAACGATGGAATAACTTGTTGAATGTGTTCTCTTATCTCTAAACCTTCTGGCGACATTGACTCACAAGACGTTGACTTTTCTAATTCGTCCACAGAACTAGTGGCAGTAGACTCTATAAAACTTGACGTGTTTCCAAAGTTCTGAGATATAAATTGCTTGTGAAGATTTGAAGGAAGTCTGGAAGATGATGTTGCATCAACTGAATCTGGAAGCTTTACAGGCACGGTCACTCGGTCTAAAATACTTGGATACATTCTCGGTGCCCGCACCTTTTCTTTTGAGTGAATTTTCATATGCCGACGTAAGCCACAGTTATCAACAAATGATTTATTACAAATACCACACGAATAGGGTTTTTCTCCTGTGTGACGACGTACATGCGTCTGCATATCACTATTTCGGGCAAATTCTTTTCCACAGAATTGACAGTCATACGGTTTTTCACCGGTATGAGTCCGTAAATGTTTCTGAGCATCTCCATTCTGGCGAAAAGATCTTCCACAAATATTACAAGTATAAGGTTTTTCACCGGTATGAATTCGTTCATGTTTTTTTAGAACTCCACTTTGTCGAAATAATCGACCACAATATTCACATTTATAGGGTTTTTCACCCGTATGCGTCCGAAAATGCGACTTAAGATCCCCAGATCTCCCGAAAGGAAGACCGCACACCTCGCAGTTATATGCCTTTTCGCCTGTATGTACCAACATGTGGCTCTTTAAAATACTATTTATCGAGAAGGAGTCCCCACACACATTGCAATGATAGGGTTTTTCCCCAGTATGAATTCTCACATGACGAAGAAGATGGCTACTTTTACCAAAACATTTACCACAAATATCACAGCGATAAATTCTCTCTTTCTTTGGTTTTATTACCCGTTTCCTGACAAGTTTTTTGTTGTCTTTATCTTGTTCTTTCAGTTTCACTTTGAAGGTTTTTTTATTTGGTTTATTCACTGGTCGAATTTCTTTGTCGTTTGATTTAATATCTCCATCACTGGTTAGTTCTTGATCACTTTCATCCATATCTTTGGCATCGTTATCTACTTCCTTCTCTTCTCCACTTTCTTCCGCTTTCATTTCTTCATTCGTTTCCGACTCACTAAATTCATCACTTTCATCCATATCGTTTGCTTTCATTTCATTTTCCGACTCACAAAACTTATCATTACTTTCTTCGTATAAGTTGTTCTTAGTTTCTTTGTCATTTTTTACACAGTCTTTATCATCAACTTCTTCTAAGTTTGTATTTTTGTAAATTAGATTTTGTGTTTTATGGCATTCTGAAGTATTACATAAGGAGGAATTTTTACTTTGTGCTTCAATAATTCTAGTCTTAAATTTATAATTTAATAGACTACATGTTGCTGGTGTCAGCTTGGAGTTCAATTTTTTATTTACATCTGTTCCATCACTATTTAAATCGGTCTTTTCTGGAATATGGTTCTCCTCTGGAGTACATGTACTATCATCGTTATTGTCTTTTCCACAATGAGCTTCCATATTTGATAAAAACCTGAAAAATGTTTTATAAACAATTAATTAACATAATATAACAATAAGTCCTATAACATCATCTGCATTTTTCGTTAAAATACATGTATATCAACTATCTCACCTTATTTCACGTTAATTTAATATGTAGGCTACACATGTTTGCAGACTGAATCTTTAACATTTAATTACCCATAACAAAATGAAATCAAAATACCAGTCCAATACAATCTTGAGCCTTGGACTTAAAACATGTCCATCAATTAGGCCTACATGTATGTCCGCAAACAATAAAAGTTAGCAAGCAGCATATAAGATTGACAAAATAAATTTCATTTCAACATGTAAATACTGAAGGTATTTTGATTCTGTTTAATTTTGTTATTTATATTAATTATTGATGGTTATTGATATAGTTGTTTTGCTGTTGCATGAATACGTTTATGCTTTGGCCTCTGCAGGTGACTAAGCACCAATGTAATGGGGCAAACATATCAACTCGTTTATGGTAGCCATACATAGACAGAAGCAGAATCAGAATCATAGACTTAGTTTGGTTACTCCACTGATGAGGAAGTATTTGTGACGATTGATAATTTGATGACTGACACTGAGTGACACTTTTGGCCTATACCTAGTCTGAATTGCACCAGTCTGGTCTGACTAAGCTTTCAAGAAAATATTCAAAAACTCTTTCTAGATGAAAATGCTCTGGCCAACGAAACGTAAAGTAATTGTGCTAAAATCAAAACTGTTATCTTGCACGATGAATAGCCTTATTTACAACACTTACAATTATTAACCAAATATTTTTTTTTTACAGGGTTGTGCACTGAGAGTTACCTTCCCCTTTCAAGGGGAATGAACTCGGAATCAGAATAATTAAAGATGGCTGACGGACAAGACTGGAGATCTCCGATTTGTCGGAATAAGCTTATAGGTCAAATGTACGAACTAATTTATCGGATTTTTAAAGTATTTCACATGCATTTATTGTTTATGAACCTTATTTGAATATTTTAGATGTTGGCAAATGTAAATTTGATTGATATACATACTGGTAAGGTTGTGTCAAACAACCAAAACACAGAACATAATAAAAATAAAATAGGGTTTCGGGTTAATCAACTTAATGTTTTAACAATCTAATTAAAACACAGATCCAATTTCGTTTCGTTTTTATAGTTCAAAATTTCGATTTTACTTGTCTTTACTACACTTGGATCTGGAAGCCTTGTTATTTAACTCGTGTTCTGCTTGAAATTAGGGATCATCCAATCAAATGGTCTGTCGAATCAAGCGTTTGACCTTTTTTGCGCGGAACTGTGGGTAGACATTAGCGACAATACAAATCAAAACAAAGCAAAAGTAGATAAAAAATACATGGTCGCTAATTGGTTAATGGAATGACTGACGTAATCGGGTCAAATGTCGCTTTCTTGGTACCTGACGTCATAGAACCTGAATAGGGGTTTCAGGTCACGTGACTTTAGCGTGAAATCGGACAGCCAGAGGCTGAAATATACCCCACTTTAATCTACTATTTTATGTAAATGCATTACTAGCAATTGTATTGCAATAGTTTTATATCAATCTCAATATTTGCAAAGATTCAGGCTAAAAAATTATCGAAATGTAAGCGAAATTACCGTTTGTTTACATGAGACGCTTGCAGGAAAATACCGCTCTGATGTCACGCGGCCTGAGATTTTCCATTGCTACGACTCACTTCATTGGTGAATCCGCAGCTTAGTTACCGGGGGATTTTGATATAGAACCAATCAAATGATAGATAACATTTTTGTGATTATTATGCTTGTTGATACCACGTGGTCGGACAATTAGACCCGGAGAAAATGGGATTTATCTGTTTTGATGACTGAAAATTGCTAAATTTCGACTAAATATAAAAAAACTTTCTTGAGGTATCATCCAGATCATAAATATTTGACATATTATCATTCAAATTATTACGATTTTAATAAATTTTAGCTGACAATAACGTGCGGATTTCAGTTATAAAATTGGTACTAGCGATTCTGAAGGGAAAATACCGCTTATGACGCTACTCAAATATGACTGAAAAGCACTCACTTTGGTGCCATGCCACGCATTGACTGGTATAGAACATTTTGATTACATTATTGACGTCGATCTCAGATTTTAAAACTCCATAACTTTGGATCTAATTAGAATATTTTGATGAAATAAACAAATTTGGGTAGCATTTTATGTATATTTTCACAAAATATTTTTTTTTTTTTTTTTTCTGTCATTTGAAACTTTGACCTGAAACCCCTAACATGAACCCCCACTATAGCTTGTTAGATCTACATGTAGTGTAGGCCATCAAAAGTATAAAAAACGAAAGGAAATATAGATCTATATTTTAAAGAGACAATAACACTCTTGCTGGCTTGACAGCCCCAGAAAATAAAAAATAGCCTTATTCTAAGTACTAGATGTGTTAGTGTCCTACCTGTTGTGTAAATTATCCATTAAATCCTTTTTTACTTGTCCAAAGGGTTCAAAAATATTTTTAAATCCAAGTCACATTTGAAAAGCTTTACGTCAGGCTTTTCAAATCATTTAGATGAATTTTTTCAATTTTTTAAATTAGGTGTGTTAAGATGAAATTTGTATCATCAATTAATTGGAATATTGTAAAATAGTACAATTTGTTGACCAGAATAAAGATTGGGACATATTATTCAGTTACAACAAGAGTGGTATTGAGCCTTTAATTAGATTGATGTTTTAAATGACAGAAATTTTTTGTTTTAAAAAAATATTTTGTGAAAATATACATAAAATGCTACTCAAATATTTTTTATTTTATCCAAATATTCTAATTAGATCTAAAGTTATGGAATTTTAAAATCTGAGATCGACATCTATAATGTATTAAAATTAAATCAAAATCCTCCATATGATGATACTCAGTCAGTGCATGCCAATGCCATGGCACCAAAATAAGTGTTTTTCACTATTTTCAGTCATATCTGAATGACGTCAAAAGTGGTATTTTCCCTTCAGAATCGCTAGTACCAATTCTAAAACTGAAATCTGGATGTTATAGTCAACTAAAATTGATAAAAATCGTAATATGATAGTAACATTTTAATGATATAATGGATAATCGAGTCTAGGCTACATGTAGATCTTCCACACTCATAACTCGGTCAGAACTAGTAATTTGAATGAAATTTTCAATATATTCAGTTTTCATTATCTATTTTTGAACTGTTATAACATGTATGGCCAGCTCTTTATCTAAATCTTACATAATGCATCTTTAAGAACTAAATTTTTTTTTTCTTCTGATTTTGTATCTTTGCTGATGCACAACAGATAAGCTTGATTTTTAAACCTTCTTAATCTTAAAATTAAAAGGTGTTTTGTGAGTTTAATGTATTTTTCCTGTTATCATTAGCCCAGTCAGAGCAGAACAGTAGGACGTTAAACCCCCTTTATTTAATGTATTTTTAATTCTTATGTAATTAATTCATTAGTGTTATAGTTCTTTTGTGTTCAGTTTTAATTCAACATCTATTTATTGTGTTTGTATTATCACAGAGATGAAGCTATTCGATCGGCAGGAAATCAGATAAATAAAACCAGTACGGAAATGGAGAGTCATGTATTTAACAAGGCTAAAACCAAGGTAAAATAGTTTTATATCTGGTGGAGCCACAGCGGCTAAGTGAGTAAGATACTGGCTTGTTAGTCTGGAGGTTGCAGGTTCGCTCCTGGCATTGGATTTTCCATTGTGGTTTCACATTGTCAGCTGTCTAGTCATTTGGATCGAGGTTTTGTGTACGTGTCCGTGAAAGATAGCTTAGCAATTGGAATTTGATATAAAGTGTAAGCCAAAGTGTCACTGTACGGGCAAAATTTCCCTCATGGCACCTTGTATGGTGTATGCCCGTCCTCATTAGCTCAGTTGGAGCAGAACAATAGGATGTTAAACTCCATTTCATTTATGTGAAGTCGTTCTTTCAACATTGATATCTGTTTACAAAAGAATGGAGCCATTATGTATTCTATTATATTAGTAAGAGCCTTGCTATATACAGGAGGGGGGTGGATGGCCGAATGGTTAGCATGTGCTTGCTGTATTATACAGCCTGTCATTGAGTCAGCTGGCGTGGTTTCGAATCCCCAGTTGTACGTGACAAGGAGTAGGGTCGTCTGTCCAATCTCGTTGGTTTTTTCCAGGTCCTCCGGTTTCCTCATACTGCTAAAGACCCCTACGCGCAAGCGAATTATTGAAATAAAATTAAAACCATATGTTAGTCCCGAAATGACCTAGTTTGCGTCGAGTGGATGTTAAATCCCATTTCTCTCTCTCTCTCGCTATATACAGCATAATACAGGTAAACATGTAGTGTAAAAATATTGTTGTTTTTAATACCGTTATTATCTCCATTGTTAAATTACTTGAACACAGAATAAATGAACATTTTTTGCTAAATTTATTTTGATGAAAGTATGTAATATGTTAAGTAAATATAGAATAATATTTATATGATACAGTAAATCTGCCTTTTTATGTTTAACAGGAAGAGTATTTAGCCCTGGTAGCACGACTCATTCTTCATATTAAAGACAGCAGTAAGTTATTTTTAGGATTTTCTGACGTGGTTCCCCCTTGTCAGTGGCGCAGGACAGAGGGCCTTACAAGGATAGCTGTCTAAGTCGTTCGGATGGGACAAAAAAACAGAGATCCCATGTATCTCTTGGCATGCATGTGATAGATCCATTGGCAGTTGAAATTCAAATTAAGAGCAGGCCATAGTGCTGCTGCCCCAGCAAAATTTCCCTCATAGCACATTGTATGACGTATGCCTGTCTTGATTAGCCCAGTTGGACGTTAAACCCCATTTCATTTCATTTTCAAATTATTTTAAATTAACAATGTGTCATTTGCATTGTTCGCTAAAATATCAAATTCTCACTGCTTAAATTACACTAATATGTACATGTTTCCTCCCACAGCTAAACCCCCCTACACTTAGGCAAATTATTGAAATAAAATTGAACCGTGTGTTACACTAGGGACCGGGTATCATTCAGATTTGATGAAAAAAGGAAAGAAACTGAGCTTACCATCTATAATCTAATACACATATTCAGTTAATAGATTGTCATGCAGAAAGTATTAAATACCATCAAGATTCATCAAATAACGCCAAGTTTGTGCTACCGTTTTGTTTGACATTGGTTGTCTAGTTTATGAAACTAAATGGTCATAAACTGAATGACCAATATCAAAACTAAACTAAATGGTCATAAACTAGGTGACCGATGTCAAAACTAAATGGTGTTTCATAAACTAAACGGTAGCACAAACTGGGCGTTATTTGATGAATCTTGATGGTATTTAATACTTTCTGCATGGCAATCTATTAACTGAATATGTGTATTAGATTATAGATGGTAAGCTCAGTTTCTTTCCTTTTTTCATGAAATCTGAATAATACCCGGTCCCTAGTGTTAGTCCTGAAATGACATAGTTTGTGTAGAGCCCCATATCTCTCTATCGCTGATCATAATTATTAAGGGTTGTAAGTGAAGCCCTGTCTTCATTAGCCCAGTATAGGAGCAGAACAGTAGAACGTTAAACCCCATTTCATTCCATTTTGTAAGTGAAGCTAATTATGATGCACTCACTCAAATCCCTGTGAATTTACAGACAAATTTTCTTAATTTCTAAGATACAACCAGCAATCTTTTGATGAAATAGAAAATTTAAATTAAATATCTATCCTCTTGCATCTTGTTTTAGATAAAGACAAGCGGAATCAACAGATGGTTGTTGGCCAGGTTGGGGCCATCGCAGGTCATTCCATAGGCCAAATGAATCCACAAATGCAGGGACGACCTATGCAGGATCCACTAAATGCCTTAACAAACCTGGCAAGACCCATGCAACAAAATCAACCAGGTACCAGTATATAAAACATCTGACACTCCTTCTCATTTGAAAAGTTCAAATAGCGGAAAAATATTTTGTATTACAATATCTATGTATTGTTTTCAATGTGCCTATATGTTTTCTATTTCTATAATGTTTACAATTTCTCAAATCTCTTAATGTTGTTTTTGATTTAAACAATATTTATTTGAAAGATTATGTACAATTTGATACTATTAAGATCATGATACAATATAACAAGCCATGTGGCACTTATATTGATTGGACTCCATGTGGGTAGAGTGCATAAAGTATGTAAAATTTAAAGTAATATATATGCAAGTCTGGTGTTAACAATGACCCCAGATGACTATTCATCTATTTTGTTGAATAATAACTAAACTTTTATATTAATACTACATGTATGTTTATCTTCATACCTGGACAAAAAAGCACCTGTCAGACTGTGTCAGACACAAATTATCAATATTACAAGTCTTTATTATAATATATAGGCCTATGTTGTGTGATAATTTGTTGTGACAAAGGCTGTGACAGGTGCCTTTTCGTCCAGGTATGAAGATAGACATAGTATTTTTATAAAAGTTTAGTTATTGTTCAACAAAATAGACAAATAGTCATTTCAATTTGCAGATATCATCACCTGCATATGAAATTACTGGTGATTCTTGATCAGTTGTATGTGAGAAGGAGTAGCGTTTCTTGTACCACACCAGATTCCTTTTACAGCCTTATGGTTTTCATGTTATGTCATAATCGTATAATCAACTGTTGTTTAAAGGAGCTAAATCGCTAATATTTGGGACCTACAAATTGACACAAATGGGGCGCAACGTATATAATAATGTAATATGAATGTAATAAAACTGATTTACATTCAATCGTTTCCGTTTTTACTCTAATTTCAAAGCAGTTATGTTTGGCAAAATACGCCAGAAGTCTCAATCGAATGGCAATCTCTAGCGTCTGGTTATTCCAGTTTACAACGATAGTATTTAATGCGCATGCTCTCCAGATAAGAATATGGGCTCACTGTTTGACATGACTTGTGGAATATGTCTAACCACATTCTTCCGAGTCGCTTGTTACAAATTGCGCTGAAACACATTATGGTACACGATTCGTGTACCAATCGTAAATTGTTTATTTTGTCTTAAATATTGGATATCAGAAGCCCATCTTTTCCTGGTAAGACTTAGCTACTTTAAACTGTGTATGCTGTCCTTGCTGGATGAAATGATACAATAAAATCTTATCTTATCTTATCTTATCTAGGGTTCGGATGAGTTACATCTCAAAGCTAAAGGCCGGGGGGGGGGGGGGGAAATTGCAAACAAAAAACAATTCAATGTGTCTCTAACAAATTCAATGTATACTAAATGTACTTGTTGTAATAGGTATGATGGGAAGTCATATGATACCACAGCATAGACCAGGTATGATGACTGCTGCACAGATTCGTCAAGTACAACAACATCAGGCTCAACAACAACAACAGCAGCAGCAACAACAACAGCAACAGCAACAACAACAACAACAGCAACAGAATAAACCTCCACTACAGGTACAGGTAATCATCATCATTCATGTATCATTTCATTTACCATTCATTAACCATCCTTATCATTTCATTTATAATTCATTAACCATAATTATCATTTCATTTACCATTCATTAACTATCGTTATCATTTCATTAATCATTCATTAACCATTATTATCATTTCATTAATCATTCATTAACCATTATTATCATTTCATTTATAATTCATTAACCATCGTTATCATTTCATTTATCATTCATTAACCATCCTTATCATTTCATTTATAAATCATTAACCATAATTATCAATTCATTTATCATTCATTAACCATCGTTATCATTTCATTTATCATTCATTGACCATCGTTATCATTTCATTTATCTTTCATTAACCATCTTTATCATTTTAGTTATCATTCATTAACTATAGTTATTGTTTCATTTATCCATTCATTCATTTTTCATTCATTCAGGCACACTGGTATACTATAGCCCAGATGGTACAGATGTACTACTATTAAAAGATGTTTTATTTCATTTCATTTGTCATTCATGAAATACTAATCATTATTATCATTGTTCTTTATTGAAGCAGTATTTATTAACTGAATGAGAATAACACATGGCACAAATATAATGGAATATAAGTTTATTTCTGGTGCCTTTTTCAATGAATATTCTCTCTCATCTTTATCAAGTTTCGAACCCTTGTTACATATAATTGTGTCATGTTAATCTCTGCATCAGAGACTGAAGGTGAAATTATTGCTGTGATGATCTTATCTCCTTCAACACTGCTGATTATGTTTTCTTTTTTAAATATTTTGTTTGCCACTCTTTTGTAATAAATTTGACTGATGAACAGATATGTTCTCTTTAATTGGAGAAAAACATAACTGTTATTGATATAGAATTATAGTTATGTATGAATTTGGCATCATTTATCAATCTGTTTCTAGTAAAAACGGATCAATAAATTCATTAAATTTAACAGATTAATTTAACATCTAATATAGCACCATACACATATCCTTTTTCGTTTCGTTTTTTTATAGTTCAAAATTTCGTTTTAATTGTCTTCACTACACCAGGATCTGAAAGAGTTGTTAAATAACACACATTCTTGGTAATGTGAGAAATTAGCCAATCGATGGATATGTGCGGTGGGTGGAACTGTGTGTAGACATTCACAGCAATAGACATGACAAGTTGTAGGGTTGCCTGTCCAACCTCGTGGGTTTTCTCTGGATCCCTCGGTTTCCTCCCACTGCTGAGGACCCCAACACGCAGGCAAATTATTTAAATAAAATTAAAAACCATATGTTAGTGTCTCTCTCTCTCTCTCTCTCTCTCTCTCTCTCTCTCTCTCTCTCTCTCTCTCAGGGATAGAAAACAAAACAAAAGTTGTATTTGTGAATAGCTTGCAACACTGATACTAATTGCTAATGGAATGTCTATGGGTCCCACTACAACAAGTCAGATTTTCATGTAGTGGAAGCCCACGCAAAGATATAAAAACAAAATGAAATCTGTATTTTAATCAGATTATTTCGTGGGGGGTTGGATGGCCGAATGGTTAGTGTGTGCACATTGTATCATAAAGCCTGTCATTGAGTCAACTGGCGTGGTTTCGAAACCCCAGTTGTACGTGACAAGGAGTAGGGTCACCTGTCCAACCTTGTGGATTTTCTCTGGGTCCTCCGGTTTCCACCCACTGCTAATGACCCCTACGCACAAGCGAATAATTGGAATTATTGAAATAAAATTAAACCATGTTAGTCTTGAAATAACCTTGTTTGTGTCGAGTGGACATTAAACTCTCTCTCTCTCTCTCTCCCTCTCTCTCTCTCCCTCTCTCTCTCTCAGATTGTTTCAGTTCATGCTATGGAATAAATATCTAACTAGGTTCACTTTTCAGAGACAAGATGCGTTTATTGTGACATCACCACAGAATGTAGTCCCAGTACAAAGTCAGCCATTACCAGCCTCAGCAGCTAACGTATGTATTAATTTACAAATTTTAATTTGATTTATATTCTTTAAAATTAGATTTTAATGTTACAGTTTACCCAAAAAACAGGGGAGGTTAATTTCTGCTGCATGAGATATTATTATCATCCAAAATTATAGAATTATAAAAATGCACAAAATCGGCATCAGTCAGTTAATTTCTGCTGCATTGCCATTTAATGAAATAAGTGATAAAAGTATGGAGACCTACATGTTCCTGAAGCAACGACATCTGGACGTTGCTAGATTACTTTACGATTCCCGAATTTATAGCTACGTTATCTTCATTTACTGTACACACGTGAACAGTAGCTTCCAATCAGAGGTTGTGATACAGACATGCTCAAATCAAATATAGCGACCTCCACAGTAACCTTGACATTGATCGAACCTTGAACATTGCAACTTGATTATCACAGGTAGATATTTCATGCAGAAAGTGCGTGACTTGGTATTTGCGATGATCGAGAAATCTGATAGGCTCTTAAGCTGGGTGAATACCCAATCAAAATTAGTGCCCAAAGTATTACATGAAGGCCTTGATAAGATGTACAGAGTTAATTCAAGATCAAGCCTTCTGTTGCAGATGGGAGACCCATAAATATACAACACTAGCAAATGGAATACATATAATCTTTCAGGGGCATTTACATGTAGTACCTGGACAGAGCAATACAGAAAAACACATACTTATGGAAAAACAGCTACTTGGGTGATGTTTCGAAGAGTATTCTCTCAACGTTATCAAGCGAATACCCAAATAAATTAAGTAGCTGTTTTTCCATAAGTATGTGTTTTTGTGGAGTACATATAGTTCTATAAAATGTTGTCTAGTTGGGTTTTGCTTTAGGGTTTACTAAAAGAAAAAAAAAAAAGTTAGTTGTTGACTTTGAATTAAATGACAAAAAATAAAATGTGTGGCTGCCTGTAATAAAACTGAAATTTTTCAACTCTTTCTATCTTGGCTGATCACCATGAATGACTACTGGTACATGGCAGGAAATGAAGTTTTAATGGCCAGTTGCTTTTAACATTCCTATAATTTTGAAAAATATATTAACAGTGATTTTATTGTCAAATTTTATTTTTCAGCTTCCTTTCCAAGGTCAACCACCAAATATGCCTCGACAGGTAAGTTTAAATGTAAATCAAACAAATTTACAACTTGTACTGTTTTAACATCAGTTTCTGTGTTTAATGTTTGGGTTTCAAACCATTGTAGCAGAACAGTAGGACGTTAAACCCCATTTCATTTCATTTCATTTCATTTCAAACTATTGTTGGAAAATTTGTCAAATTTTCAAAAAATATTGGGTTCCTACTGTTTAAAATGGTCCATCTAGATTAACATTGATTTTTGGGTTTATTTTCACTAGTATTGTTAAATGATTAACAGACTAATTAATTATTCAACACTGCTAGTGAAAGTAAACAGTTGTATACCCTGAAAGTGGGGTTGGATGGCTGAATGTTTAGGGTATGCGCATTGTATCATAAGGTCTGTCATTGAGTCAACTGACATGGTTTCGATTCCGCTGTTGTGCCTGACAAGGAATAGGGTCTCCTGTCCCGAAATGACCTTGTATGTGTGGAATGGAGGTTAAACTCTCTCTCTCTCTCTGTAAACACTAAATTGCTGTCTCTTACTCTATAGAAAATATAAACTGTTAAATTTGTCAAATATTTTCTCCTAGAAGTTTAAAGTCTGTGCCTATTTTGTGTTGTTTTAGATGCCAAATCAGCAGATTGGAAAAGCCCCTTCTCCAGCACAGAATGTTTGGTAAGTTGAACAAGATGATGACATAGAATAAATTATGTAATATAAACATAAACCCAGCCATCTCAGATTTCGATCAAAGGTATTTTAAGGTGTTGTCTGACAAATGCCAAATTTCAAAGTTTTATTCAAATCTGAGGTGGTCGGGTTAAGAATCCTAGGTGAATTGACCAGGAATAACTTGGTGTGTATTGTTGTATGTACTGTAATAGTAGACATAATCTATAATCTATCTCTCATTTCTATTTTTAGTTCTCCTGCAGTTTTAATGGCACCATCACCTCCTACAATGCGTGGTGGACCTGGAGTTCCCTCCCCTGGTGCAGCACTAAACACTCCAGGTAATATAGATATATGATAAATCCCAAGTGGTATACAAAGTATAATGGTTTAATCCAGGGCACATTTCGATGGGTAGCTCTTTATTCAAGACACTATTTCTTCCTCTCTTAGTAGGAGTTAATTAGTAACACTCTTAGAGTATAAATTGGGTATAAACCTACAAAATATAAACCCAAGTCTTTTTGAATTGAATCATATACATTGATTACAGTTGGATAAGAGACATATTTTGTCATTAGTCCACACTAAAATATGTCACCATGTGAAAAACTAATTACAGTTAGACACAAAAATGATGGCTAAGTACAGCAGTGTACATGGATACATTTACATCTCAAGGATATATTTGTCATTATTTTATATTATCTATGAAATGTTTTTCAGGGAATCCTGGATCTGTTGGACCAGCTCCGAGTCCTGGTGGTAGACAAATCACAGATGAACAGATGTATATGGAAAAATTACAAAAATTATCGAAATTTGTTGGACCACTTCGTGGAATGGTTAATACACTCGAAAAAGATGAAAGTATGTCATTATTTCAATTTACTCACCTGCAGACTATATCTTCCATAGCAACTATAGTTATCTGTTTTTTGTTGATTGAAGTTCCCCCCCTCTCTCTCTCTCTCTCTCTCTCTCTCTCTCTCTCTCTCTCTCTCTCTCCTGACTGTTTGCCTTTAAAATAACAGTCAAGTTTTTAAAAAACAAGTTTGAGTAAACACAGGGTTAAAACTTCACAGACCCCATATTTTATTTGGGTTTTTTTGGGAGACCCCAATGAAGCCCCTCCCTTCATTATTTTATATTTGTTGAGTGAAATTGATATTTGAATTTATTCCTTTTGTATATTTTAGGTCGAAGAATAGATTATGAGAAGATGAAGAATTTACTTGATATTTTAACAGATCCTAAAAAACGGTTTGTTTATTATAGCTTCTTTCTGATAAATGATCTCAACTGATTAAACAATGGTTTGTTTATTAGCTTCTTTCTTACAGATCATGATAAATGATATAAAAAATTATATTGTTTATTAGTTTATTACTGATCATGAGAAATGAGGATCTGAACTGTGTAAAAAGTCTTATGAAAAATTTTCTGACCTTTTTTACAATAAGACTAAAGATTAGAGCAATTTGGTGCCATTGTTGTTGTTTCTATTAGGTTTAATGTTGGTCAACACTGAACTAAACAGTTTCCTCACACAGCTAAACAACTCTACACTCAAGCCATTAATGTTAGTCATCCGAACTCAACAGTTTCCACACACTGCTAAATAACTGTACTCAGAAGCGATTAATGTAGGTCCACTGAATTGAACAGTTTCCTCACACTGCTAAACAACTGTACTCATAATCGATTAATGTTGGTCCACTGAACTCTACAGTTTCCTCACACTGCTAAATGACTCTACACTCAAGCGGTTAAAGTTGGTCAAGTGAACTGAACAGTTTCTTCACTCAGCTAAATAACTCTACAATCAACTGATTTATGTTGGTCCTCTGAACTCAACAGTTTCTTCACTTTACTAAATAACTCGACACTCAAGTGATTGATGTTGGTCCACTGAACACAACAGTTTCCTCACTCAGCTAAATGACTCTACACTCAAGCGATTAATGGTTGTTCACTGAACTCAACACTTTCCTCACTCAGCTAAATGACTCTACACTCAAGCGATTAATGGTTGTTCACTGAACTCAACACTTTCCTCACTCAGCTAAATGACTCTACACTCAAGCGATTAATGGTTGTTCACTGAACTCAACACTTTCCTCACTCAGCTAAATGACTCTACACTCAAGCGATTAATGGTTGTTCACTGAACTCAACACTTTCCTCACTCAGCTAAATGACTCTACACTCAACGGTTTCCTCACACTGCTAAACAACTGTACTCAGAAGTGATTAATTTAAATAAAGGGATGTACCATTTGTTAGTCCCGATATAACCTAGTTTGTGTTAAGTGGATGTTTGTGTATCTAATGTAGAGGAGTTAATATGAGCTTCCTTTTTTTTGAATTGTAGCAATTGATATAAATTTTGGAGGTAACCAGGGGAAACCCATAGGATTGGGAAGGGCAACCCTAGCTCCATGTCTTGCACAAGCCTTGGATGACTGAATGACAAGACCTTATGGTCTAAAGCACACTAGTAAGACCAACCCACCCCGTCAACTTTTTAAAATATAGTTTGTTTTATTCTTCAATTTAATAATATATTTACAAACAACTATTTGACTTTAAGTTATGTTTGTTTTTTTTCCAGGGTACCATATGCTACATTAGAAAAATGTGAAAAGGTTTTAGAGAATCACCACATGTCTGTAAAATCAGTAAGTTATATTATACAACGTTATGTTTGTAGGGAGAGTTCCATTATACACGGGAGCCCCAGTGGCTAAGTGGGTAACATGCTGGCTCACTAGCCTGGAGGTCGCGTGTTCGATCCCTACATTGGCCAAGAAAGTTCATCAGGATTTTCCGATGTGGTTTCCCCTTGTCATTGGTGCAAGATGGAGGGCCTGACTAGGACAGCTATCTAGTCGTTCGGATGGTACGAATAATAAAGGTCCCATGTACACATTGGCGTGCACATAAAAGATACCTTGGCAGTTGGAATTCAATATACGAGTAGACTGTAGCACCGCTGTCCGGGCAAAATTTCCCTCATTGCACACTGTATGACGTATGCACATCGTCATTAGCCTAGTCAGAGGAACACAGTAGGATGTTAAACCCCATTTCATTTCATTTCATTTCATTTCCATTATACATACCTCCAGACTATATCTATATAGTTATTAATTACTTTGAATTCCATTTGGATATTTGTTCTGTAAAATGGAATAGTTTCCCAGCAATAATCCAATTGTATCTTTATATTAATTTGTTGATGTCTACAATAGACACTAAACTTTAATGTAATTGATGACTTTCAATTCAATATGGATTTTTGTTCTGTAACATCCTGTAAAGGAAGGAATAGTTTCCCTGTAATTCATCAATATTATGGGAACCATGGTGGCTCAATGAGTGAGACGCTGACTAACCTGGTTCGATCTCTGCATTGGCTGAGGAAGTTTATCAGGATTTTCTGGCATGGTTCCCCCTTGTCATTATTCAGGATAGAGGACAAGGGACAATGTATAATGAGATGAAAAACCAAGGTCCCGTGTACACATTGGCATGCATGTAAAAGAACCCTTGGCAGTTGGAATTTGATATAAGAGTAGGTCGTAGTGCAGCTGTCCTAGCAAAATTTCCATCATAGTGCACCGTATAGTGTATTCCAGTCTTTATTAGCCCAATCATTGCAAGACTGTAGGACGTTAAACCACATTTCATTTCATCTGTATTAATTTTTATTTTATAACAGTCAACACCATCTCAGCCTGTAACGACAGCGAGTATGTTTGAGTGTTTATATGAAGGTATAGCAGCTAATATTAAAACAACAAGTATAAACCATAGTCTACAGAGAACATTTGGTCCAGCTATATCAGCCTTCTTTGGTCAGTCCATCAAGTAAGTACAAATAATAATAGACTGCTGCTTTCGAAACATGTCATTTTTACGAGGGGGGGTGGGGGGTAGATGGCTGAATGGCTCAGATTTGAAGTAGATTAGAACACCGCGGCCACTTAAAAATTTAACGATAGAAGAGATAATCAAAACTTCAAACTCTCATAACTGCACTCAGTAAAGTAATTTGACTGAAATTTTCAATATATTCATTATTCATTATCTATTTTTGAACTATTATAGCAAGAACAGCCGGCTCTAAATCTTTTATAAGATAACTCAATATTGTTTTCAGAGCTCCAGTGGCACCAAGTAGAAAACGTAAATTACAGCCGTCAAATGAGAATGAATTATCAAATGTTTTACAAGGTGAAATCGCCAGATTAGATCCACGATTTAAAATCAGTGTTGATCCATTACATCATTCCAGTAATCTCTCAATACATCTCATCTGTAAATTAGGTACGTCCATTTCTTTCTGTTCAAGGGTTCTGATAACTTTACATATTTTCAGTGTGTCACCAGTATTGTTGTGAGTTTTCTGTCTAGGTTCTCAGGTCTTCTTTTGTTGCTACTGAGCAATAAATTAAACAAGGTTCAGTGCATTGGTAAATCGAATAGAGCTTGGTGCTTAAATAATGAACAAGATCTTGGTGCACAAGTAACTTAGTGAGCTCATTGCACAAGTAAATGATCAAAACCTCAGTGCACAAATAAATTAACAAAACAAAGATGTAAGAGCAGAAATTAAACCCTATCACTTGTACACATTTTCATTAATGTCTTATAATTAATTAAGTCATTATTATTTATTATATTTTTTAGATGATAAAAATCTACCGAGTGTTCCACCATTAATTGTACAGATACCTACAGATTATCCTAAACAGACACCTGAATGTGATACACACTCGGAAGGTTATGGTAAGTCTCTACATCATTTTAAATTACAAAGAGAGGTTGGATGACCGAATGGTTAGCATGTGCGCATTGTATCATAAGGTCTGTCATTGAGTCAGCTGGCATGGTTTTGGTTCCCTGGTTGTACGTGACAAGAAGTAGGGTCGCCTGTCCAACCTCTCCAGGTCCTCTCACTGCTAAAGACCCCTATGCGCAAGCGAATAATTGGGCCTGCTTGATTTGTCCGCCGATAGGTGAGCCGGTTTCTACTACGGCGTACGCCGGTCAGGTTACCGTATCGAAGCAAATCAAGTGACCTGGCTGATAAACAATATACATACTTGCCAACTACTCCGGTTTTACCGTAACAAGTACGGTTTCCATCAACTTATTCCGGGTTACGGCTGCATTGATAAAAAATACGGTTTTTCATTAAAAATATTCCAAAAATTAGAATTTGTTAAAAAGTTTTATTCACGAAATCGCGAAAGAGCCGTACTGTAATTCAATACAAAGACAATCGGCACGGCTTTATCGTAACTTCCTGTTGAGCCATTCTGAATGCTACTGTATGCGTGAGGCTATTTATAGCTCTGCTGCCAAGCGCGAGGCACCAGTCTTTGTTTCCAAACGAGTGAACGATCATGGAATCAGCCGGAGAAAAATCGCAAACGAGTGTAAAACCGAAAAGACAATTGCAGTTATTCCGTGAGGAATATTCCAAAGCCTACCCAAGAGTAATTATCTGTTCAAAAAAGGGTGAAAATTACGCGAACTGCACGTTATGTCGACAAGATTTTTCAATTGGACACGGAGGAATTTGCGATGTTAAAGACCACACCAATGTTATCTATTGGAAGTGTTTAAAACTGTTATTTTTAAATCTCAATAGTTGACAGCATAACTGCCAATATAATGGTAAAATTTCATACTATTTATTAAGATGACTGTTCATTAAATTTAAGGTAGCTAATAGAATAAATATGTCTATCAACCTTTATGACTTTTCCAGTATTATTTTTGGTAGAAAGTCTCTATGATTGTGGTAGGAATGTGATGATTTTGGCCACATTTTAACCTATCTGAATGCTAATATTCATTTTGCGTCGGAGGTCTTTGCCCCCCTGAACCCCCCGCCAGGACTATGTCCTGGACCAACCGGGGCCAGCGGCCCTAGACCCTGGCTACTAGGCTTTTTGGGTTTCAAAAGTTGGCAGGTATGAATATGGCGTCGGATAATGTTATAATATTAAACCGGTTACATGACATCAAAAACAGTATTCTTGAAAGTATGACTTGAAAGTGCCCACAAAATAAGCAGAAAATTATTATTAGTAATATTACTGAGAAAAAATAAATGACATATGAGCTTCTGGTTTTACGAAGCTCAAATTCATCTTCAAAATATTTGGTTTAATTTTAACGCTTTAAAATTAGTGTTTTATGGCATTCCTAAATAACGTGAATTTTATCTTGTTGACATGTTCACCATCTTGTGCCGGTGTTCGCCGCTGCCACCAAAGCGGCGCATTTGGCGTACGCCGCAGACAAACTTTTGTTGACTTCCGGTGAAATCAAACTGTGGTCAGCTGGTATGCGCCGGTATTGACAAATCAAGCAGGGCCATTGAAATAAAATTGAACCATGTGTTAGTCCCGAAATGAAATACTTTGTGTCAAGTGGACGTTAAACTCCCCTCCCTCTCTCTCTCTCTTTAAATTACAAAGTAAACTTCATTATTTTGAAAAACAGAACAGAAATAAACAAGTGTTCTAGAAAAAGCAATGCAGTAGTCATTAACTTCTCTCAAAATAAATAAAATTGTCTGAGCTCTTCAATATATTCACATATCATTATCAATATTAAACTATTGTAGCTAGAACTGTTAGCTCTTTATCTAACTCTTACATAATGCATATGCAATATCAGAAAAGGCCACAAATTTGTCCAAGGGGGGGGGGGGGGCGGGTGGCCTTTGCAATTAAAGGGAGATAACTCTGTATAAATGACCTTAAAGTCATTTTATCTCCCCTTAGACCACAAATGCTGCGAATTTTGTCACATCCTACTTATGTCCTTGTTTAGAATTGCCTCATATTTAGATATCATAATTCTACATTTGGAATAGATAATGGACAATCTTTTGGCTCTCACTTTTGGATTTATTATCACAACCAAAACTTTAATTCCTTAAAAAATACATATAGTTGAGGTGTTTGCCCCTTCTTGATGAGATGCGAAAGTGATGATGATACAGAAAAACAATACATGAACATTTTACAAAATATATTGAATTGAGCATATAGAAACGTGTAAAAATAACAGAAATCTTCAAATCTGCTTATCCCCATTTGCATTTTTTGGCCAATATCCAATTTTTCATGGCTTCATGCCTATTAAAATGTACTCGTATTGTTTATTTATTGTTTATTTTAGAAAGTATATTTAATTCCTCATATTCTTGTTAATATTGAATGTAATTCAACCATTTTTGGACTGATATTTCTTGTAGATTCAACTGTCACAATATTGTATTTTACAAGTGATTCAGAATCTCCCAAATAATGATCAGCAAATTTAAAGGTATTTGCCATGAATACATTAAAGGCCTGTATGAAAAATTTTCATGTTGAGAAACACAGGATTGAGATTGTTTTTAAAGACCATGGTTACTATATCAACTTTACGGCAAGTTCACACCAATCTGATTAAAATTAAGTCTGCTGTTAACGTTTAAGTATCCGACACGCCAAAACGCTTTTCGATTTCTCAATTACGACCTTAATCCGGTTGATTGGCTGGTGACGTCACAGGCACTACACATAGGATATACATTATCTATACAATATCTCACTGTATGTACAATATAGCACTATCAATACACACGGCAACTGGACAAGCGTCTATTGACGTTCCGATTACCATGTGACTGGCCTAATCATAATCACCGAATTATCGTCTTTCATTGGTATAGATTAGACATTTGTGATTGGAATATTTTAGAGTGAATTTAAAATGCCGTATCATGCCGTAGATCAATTTAAGCTGCTTTTGTTTAAATAGGCCACGTGTCAAATGAAGATGACTCAAGCAATTAGCGCATTTACCGGTAATTTGGATAACCCCGTAATACTTGCAGATATCCCAAACTTAAGTACAGAAATACAAATGATGCCAGTCAATTGTCGATATATTCATTATTAGCTATACATAATAATAATAACCATTTCTATATACAAAGAACAACTTGTATCGTAACTCAATTTGAAATTCACAGCAAATATGGAATTTTCCGATGAGCATCCATAGATCGCCTTCATTTCTCAGCCAATCAACGTTGGGAATCTTATTGCCATGTACGGTTCCATGCACTACGGGCGTAGTTACTGAGGTTAAACTTTGGCGCGAAAATTCCATGGGATTCATGGACATGCATATTAAATACGCGGAGTTCCTGATGCCGTTTGGTGAGTGATTAAACTGTCAATGCAATTGTAAAATACTTTTATTATAAAGAATATTTCATATCAAGTCAATTAAATGTTGTTTAAACGCCAGTCAACAAATAATGCAATGCTACTTGATTACACAAACACAAAAATTAAATTATAATTATAAACAACTGATGAGTAAAATTTAATTATTTTATACAATAAATATGTCTCTGTACGATTCTACCATTAGTTCATTTGTAGGTACTACGCACACGTTCCACCTAGAGTGATGCCTTTGATCTGGCCTGCGTAAAAAAGATAATTACCTAATCAGCATTCTTAATCCCACTAATAATCACTGCTAACACCGAGATGTAAATTAATTAATGACCCCCAAGTCTGTATAAGTTTAGTCGGATTGATTAATTAATGACTGATGTTAACGACACGACTATTATTATCAATACACAAAGATAGTTAGATGACACTTCTCAATCTGTCTGTTATTCCATTTAGATGGTTACCAACAAAATTTATTTGTACTGTATATTGAGATATTTTTTCGCATTCATTTCTACGGTCTATTTCAGACTAATGAAGTCAAATCCGCCATACGATGATAACGGATCGTCATTTACAAATCGCTTTTCATTCATGTTTGACTTTTATGATACAATTTGCGTGACCACATCTTTTTACCCCTGTACTTTTTTACTCGGGGAAATTAGAACCACAATACTCTTTTGACGAAAATGTATCTCTAATCAATTGGACTGCACACGATGTTAGAGGGTATTAAAATTGCTGTCATGAGAAACAAATTCTAAATTGAATCTTAAATTAATATGAATTACAAAACAAATTATTCCGTAGTCAATTGTTTTATTTAATTAAGGAACTAAGGGGGATTAAGGAACCAGTCAGGCGTTAATGAGTACACACGCCGGCTGTATATAGGTAATTAAGGAATAAACTTTCCGAATATGCATTCGGTCACTGTGACGTCACTGGCGTCTGAGGGGATTAAGAGTGTTTTCGATAATTGGCAAAGTCGTTTTTATGGGAGGTCCATTTTTACGACTTTGAGTGAAGATAACTGAATTAATTTCAATCAGATTGTTGTGAACTTGCCGTAAAGTTGATATTGTAACCATTGGCTACACATATCCAAAATTTTCCAAGCCCATCTTATGTGCACTTTAAGTTTGTGATCATAGTTCTCTGGCAGTTACCTCAGTTTCCATGTATGAGGAATCATATAAAACAGACAGACACGTGCAAGATGGTCGTTTATTTTCATTTGTTAAAATTTGTTATTAAAGTAATGATGCATCATTTGTATTTTTCACTGAAATATCAAATTTTTTCACAACTTAATCCACGCTAAGATATCAAATTTCTCACTGCTTAATCCACACTAATATGTAAATCTACTCAGATTCATTATTTAACATTTAAAATTTAATTAAGAAAACAAAATCAAAAGCCAATGATGGATGACCTCCCTGTTTGGATGTAATCAGTTTTAAAATTGAACATGGAAACTCCACTCCCAGTCACTGAGGTTGGACAGATGACCCTACTCCTTCA